ATGACTACTTTTATTGCTTTTTCAAGAGAAAGGCCATTTTCAAGGCTCAGATAAATAGCACACCCTACCAATCAAATGTCTATACTTAACATTTAATTTCAAATGAAAGTTCATAACATTAAATCCAGACATTAGACCTATAATAAACACCAAATATAATTATGTTGGCCTTGAGTTAGTCTTCTGCTCCTTTGGATGTATTATCTAAGTGACTTATTTCATGAACTTCAGCCCAGAGCAGTTTCTTATTTATAAAGCACTTAATTAATGGAACAGAAATGGCTGCTAATGTTTAGGGATTTATTGGTTTAAGATGATGACCGAATAAATTAAACTTTAGTGGCATTGTAAAGGGAATTAATAATATCAGCAGAAGTTCTTGATTTGCACATTTTAATTAAAGCAAGCCACACTGGTAAATTTAAACAATTTTAAATGAGTACAAATAAGTATAATGACACATTCCATATTGTAAAGGATATATATGTATATCACTACATTGAAATTGAAAACTGGTCATGAAGTGAAGCTTAATGTGCTCTGTTTACTAGCTCAGAAAGTACTAGCGACCATCCTATACATAATGGTCTCTCAGTGACTGCTTATTTACTAGAGCCTGAGGCCCTTCTGTGACACATGATTTATATACACAATTAATTCAGACCAGTCAGTAAAATAGAATCATCGTGATCATTAACCTCTGCACGTTCAATGTATTCACATGGACATGGCACCTAAGAGATGTTACCAATAAAATGGCCTTCATGTTTGCTCTCTAAATATCCTTGTTTTTATGCTGAAAATTTGTCTCTTTAGAGTTGTTTATATATATATATATATTTTATACTTATATATTTTAGAGTTGTATATATATGTGTATATATATATAATATATATATATATTTTATATTTCCATTATATATATTTAGAATCCTAAAAGTAGGACAGAATAGAATTGGAGATTCTAACATATGACAGTCAAGATCTTCTATAGTCTCAGCAGGTATATCCCAGGGGCTGCCACCATTCAAAGAGTTAATCTTAGAATGAGCTGGATGCTTTGGCAGCCAAGATTCAGGAGAGGGGAACTGAGGGCTTTCCTAGCAGGATTTCTGTTATGGGTCCAAGAAACCCGGCTGGCCATTTAATAGTGGGAAGGAGACCAGAGTAGATGGATGAAGAACTAAACCAGGATGATTTCAGTGTCAGGCTGGGTTCAAAGGGAATATCGTCAAAGAAGGTGACCTCCAAACTCAGAACTAAGGTTCCTACAGGGGCTGATAGACCAGATGGACAGATCAGAACTCTGAAGAAGAGGCTCTCAGAACTTATCTTTCTTGTTTTCAAAGTGGCCCAACCCCAGGGGCCCTGGTCAAGAGATCCAGGCCAGACACCTGGGAAGCTGACAGTTTATGAGTGAAGAATGTAATTTTAAAACAATCTGTTCTTTGAATGCCCTCGTGGGAGATGGTTGATGGTTGCTTCATTGACAGTGGGGATCAAGTTGTTTTTAGCATCAAGACTTCCTCAACTTTTAATTGACTGTCAGCTCAATAGTGCCTCTATGGTGAAGATGGCAGGCACCATCTTTCTAAAATAGAAACTAAATGAGTTTCAACCGTGTTTCAGCTGAACATTTCGATAGAGTACAATGTTTCAGTAACATGAAAGATTTCAAATTTTCAGGAACATATTTTCTCACTGAAGTTGACATTGGTGAAATATTTGAATCTCCAGATCTCTCTAGAAATTGTGTACCTGCCCCACCCTGACTTATTTTTGGAGTACCTAGGATGTATTTCATAGGTGCAACAGCAAGTCTCATCTGCCATGTTAGTTATGCTTCCTCTACAAAATTCCTTCATAGGCACAGCCCCTATTGATGTGCTGATCAGAGTGACCACAATACAGCCACTGCTAAAACTCTGAAAGTGTGTGTGGGGAGCATTGCAGTAAGTCTGGAGGAGGCAGCGTGGCTGTCCCCTGGAGCTCCCCTGTGTCATGATGCCACACTGCCATCCTCTACTACCAGTGAGCTTGGAACAGCAACTACATTCTCTTGTTCTGGCGCCAAATGGAAGACTGTTTTATGGATCCTCCATCTCCTAAAAATTTTGCATGAAGAGGTTCCTTCCTTTAAAATAATTCCCATTTAACAGAAGAAAATTGTGTAATTTAGTAAACTGTCAACGATTACGTAGCATGGAAGTGCAAGAGATATGATTTACAGCTAGCAATCTGAATTAAGTGTGTTTGTATTTGAACAATTATGCTGCTTTGTTCCAGGTAATCTGTTACTGGAGACCTCTCACCTCTTAATATGATTTCTTTCAATCCCTCAGGAAAATAGATTCTTGGTAAAACAGAACCACCTTGGCATCTCCATGAATACACAGCCAAGCCCAAATTTCAATAATTCTAGTAGACTGAATTTTGGAAAAGATTTGCTGCTGCTCTATCCTGGCCTTCTCTCTGTTGGGCTTGCCCCTGCTGAATGATCATACTTCCTGCCCCTTGGTGTCATACTTGCTCACGTGACCAGCTTTGGTCAATCAAATTTAATAGGAATTTGTAGGTGCCTTTCTGGACTAGAAGTTTGAGGAGTCAGATCTATTTTCCCTATTTCAAGACCACCATGTGCAGAAAGGTGTAGCTCATTTAGCCTGCATGACAGAGTGAAAAAGATAAAGAACAGAGCTGAAGTTGCTCCCGAAAAGACAAGAGTTAGAAAAGAAACTTTGTTTTCGTAAGGTACTGAGACTTTGCAGTTGTTTCCTATCAAGCATCACTTAGCCTAAACTGGCTGATAGAGGGGTCAACACAGTGTGGGCAAAGGCTTGGCTCCTTGCGAAGGTCAGCTGCTGCCTCTGTCTCCATAGGATCTGATGAAGTAGCATTCCCAGGCTACAGGGTCTAAGGCAATCATCCTTTCTCTTAAAACATGGCTTGGCAGTAGGTAAACTTAATAGGAAAGAGTAACTGATTGGGTTGTGATACAGTGAAACAGAGGAAGAAGTCAAAGATGCCTTCAATGTTTGTATGGTTCTGGGATGCATCGACTACTGATTTGTCTTTCCCCCCACTCCTTCTTGGTCAAGTCCACCATAGTTGAATCTTTAGTGATGTTGATTCATCCTTGAAAACTTCATGGTAAATGAAAAAAATTTTGATCATGAAGAACTGGATATAAGTCCTGGATCTGCAAATGGCTAACTTTGTGACCTTCAGAATGTTAGCTATTGCTCTGATCCTCGAGATTTTTCAACCTGGAATATGGCAATAATCATTTTCCTTGTCTTCATTTCAGCTCCCTCCTGTCCCTGTCCCTCTTTTGCAAGCTTGTCTGTATAAAATACATACTTGCTTTTATCCTTTGCTTGCTTATCATTTTTCAAGAAGTCCTTCTGCCCACTAGACAAACTCTAAATTCTTTGACAAGGCGTACAAAACCTCCAAGAACTGGCCCCTATCTACTGCTACAGTTTTCATCTCTCGATGTCCCTTACCCTCACTTTGTGCCCTAACAATATAGAACTACTTGCATTTCCCCAGATGAGACCACGTCTCGCTGTCTTCTACCTGCAAACCTTTGTATATGCTGCTCCCTCTGGCTTGTCCTTCCGCTTGGAGCTCCTGCTTCCCTTACATTCGGGTTTGTGGTTTCAGCCGGAACTGTTTTTAGCACTCAGAAAACCTTCTCTTGCTTTCTGTTGGGTTAATACCCATTTATGTTTTCTTAAACACACAGGGAAAAAAAAAAAATCCAAGATAGGCATTTTACAGTGAAAAGAAGCGGTCTGGACTTGTCTTTTGAGAAAAAGGAAATATTCCGTAAGGTTCAAACTCTTATATTCTATGATTAGCAAAACATAATACTTTAAATTTATTTGTGATGTATATCTCTATCAGCAACCTCAAGAGGAAGAGGGTCTGGTCCTCTGACTGAAGATAGACCTGGGACAAAGATATTCTTTTTAAAATTTAATTAATTAATTAATTTTTTACTTTATATTGGTATTTTTAAATTTAATTTTTATTTTATATTAGAGCATAGTTGATTTACAATGTTGTGTTAGTTTCAAGTGTACAGCAAAGTGATTCAGTTATACGTATACACATAGTCCTTCTTTTTCAGATTCCTTTACCATAGAGGTTAGTACAGAAAATGGAATAGAGTTCTCTGTGCTTTACAGTAGGTCCTTGTTGATGATCTATTTTATATATAGTAGTGTGTATATGTTAATCCCAAACTCCTAATTTACATTAAGCGGTTTTGTAATTAATGGTTTACAGGTCTTCCCTCCATTGTAAACTGTAATGAACTTCAAGATATTAAACACGATCTTTCCATCTTTGGAACCCCAGTGCCTAGCTCATGCTGGTTCATTATAAATATTTTATTTTAATTTATCTCCAGAATAGAGTTAGATTCAGATTGACTAATATGTTTACTAGACACAGAGTACTAGGCACTTTGATATGTTATTTTATAAAATCTCTATTCATTGTATAATTTTCATTTCATAGCTACAGAAACTGATTTATTAGAATATAAGTTACACAGTGTCAGATAATAAGAACAGGACCAGAAATTCAACCGAGGCCTCTTTGAATCAATGTGTTTTGTTGCTTTTACTATATTATAGTCTGGCTTTATTATTGAAAAAAGCTACTCACAGAAATACTTAATGACCTTACCTCTAAAAGGAAGAAAAAATAATTAACAGTTCAAAGTATCCCTCTCATTTTCCTACTAAATTTGAAACAAAAAGCACTGATGGGAGGTTACGGGAACAGTGTGAGGGAAGACAAGAATGTTGAAGTTCATCTTCAGGAAAAAAAAAACAAGGACAGATCCTTAATATTTCATGTCTTGTAGGATATCAAAAACTATAAGCCAGACACTATGACAATAAGAGAGTAAAAATCTTAATAAATTTTGTAGACAGCCCACATTTATTCATTTTGCTATCAACTTTTTATTTCTCCACAGTGATTCACATTTAAGCCCTTAAAACATGAAAAGAAAGTGGTCTCTTGGGAGAACAAGAAGAAAGAATGGAGTCAGAGATATTACATCTTTCCATTTCAACAGCCAGGCATGGAGGAGAGCGATGTTTTGGGATTGAGTCACTTACATGAAGGAGGAGAGAAGGAAATGAGTCATCACAGTCTGTGAAACAGAAAGAAAAGAAAGAAAAGGAACCAAGGAATAACAAGGCTCATGTGAGTTAATAGGTTGTGCCCCTGGAAAATTACTTATGATCGTCAATCCTGAATTCCCTCTTTTTTAAAATGAGAATAATCGCTCTCATTTCACAGCGTTTCCTTGATGTTAAATTATGTAGATAACATGGGTATTGCATATAGAATTATTTCTATCATAATAATTCAGAGCTGAATTGTACTGGGTGCTTCAATAAATATTAGTTCCCTTCTCCCCAGTAAATGCTCATTTTTTGATCTGCCTACCTTTGGTGGTGATATTCACTTATTTTAAAGCTCAAGTCTTTGTGGAGTCTTGTGATTTTATCTCTCTTTCAAAGGAAACACAGAGACAGATAATATACTGCCTTGGTGGATTTGTAGCTATATGACTTCTTCTCAAGATCCCATATACCTCCATATCCCTCAAGATTCTTAGGAATGAAATATAATTCTTTAGGAGATACACAGACCAGTCTCTCTCTTTGGCAAGGCCAGTGCAAGGGTAGAAATGGAAGCTTACATACCTTATATCTAACTATCTAAAATTCATAAACACCAACGATCAGTTATAAGAATTATGTTCTATCTTCATGCCTTGATAAAATATCTTCATAATAAAAAATTTTTAAATGCACTAACCAGTGATTTTATATGATTAAAACTAAGGACAATGTTAAAAACTACTAATTTAATTTTTATTGCACATGTCTGCATGTTTTGTTGATGAGGTACTGATGTTTGGATGAGTAATTAAAGAAAAGAGATGTAATTCATAGTTTATTATATGTTTGTTCCATAAAATTTATTTTTATTGCCTTCATTTCAACAAAATCGCTATTTATATTGGTAAAAATCAAGATTTCTATATAATTTATGTTCTGTTCTATTGATAGTAATGCCTAATTAGGCAATCGTTACTAAGTCTTTGAAGTTTTTTTGATGAGCTCCTGTTTTTAGAAAGTTTCCTTTGTTGAAACAGAAGCAGCTAGATTTCTCAATGAAATTCTTTTTTTTTTTTAAGGTGATTTAAAAAAAATAAACTTTGTTTCTTTGTTTGTTTTTGGCTGTGTTGGGTCTTTGTTGCTGCACGGGCTTTCTCTAGTTGTGGTGAGCAGGGGCTACTCTTCGTTGCGGTGCGTGGGCTTCTCATTGCGGTGGCTTCTCTTGTTGCGGAGCACGGGCTCTAGGCATGTGGGCTTCAGTAGTTGTGGCATGTGGGCTCAGTACTTGTGGCTCGCGGGCTCTAAAGCACAGGCTAAGTAGTTGTGGTGCACGGGCTTAGTTACTCCGTGGCATGTGGGATCTTCCTGCACCAGGGCTCTAACCCATGTCCCCTGCATTGGCAGGCAGATTCTTAACGACTTCGCCACAAGGGAAGTCCCCTCTCAATGAATTTCTTAAAACCACACTTAAATTTGAAATAAACAAAGGATTTTAAATGTCGTGTTCAGTCTTGATAATGGGGTCATAGATGCTAAACTATTGGCAAGCAGAAAATATTGCAAGATATTTTGATTGCATCATAGAATTTTCTACAACTTTACTTTGATTTTCATAAACTCTTAAAGCAGTATCTCCATTTATATATAAGAAGTATCACACTTCAAATATATTGTCTAGATTTTATATATATGTACATAAAAATATATGTACAAATGCATACATAAAATTTTAGAGTAATGTGAATTATCTAGTATTGCAGACTGTTTCTCAGCTGCCCTTTTTAAAATCATGATAATTTGTGAGTACCTCTGGAGCAACAAATTAAAACACAAAACTAAATGGATGCTGGTTTCTTATGCAAGAAAGAGCATTCACACTGTTTAAAAGGAAGGCTTTGACAAGTTAGTGAACTTGTCTTTTTTTATTGAGACCTCTGTTGAAGTCTTCTTCCCATTCTGAAGCAGCATTGGTATCTGAAGTTTTCTGTGACACAACCCACAAACTTTCAACTCTCGTTCTGGCACAGTTACTAGCCTGAATTGTGCTAGTTATGGGTCAGAGTGTACCAGCCATAGTGCTGGATCCTGAGTGACAGAGACACTCATGGGCATCTCAATAAATTTATTTTGCATGTGCTTGTGATATGTGGGGCCTTCTACAGTACAGATCCTAAGGACAGGGATCCCTGTAAGGAAGAGTGTTGTAATTTTCATAAAGTGATCAGAGTAGCTCATGGAGAAGGTAATGGAGCAAAAAATTACAAATAGGTAGAGTGAGCCATGTGACTATAAGAGGGAAGAACATTCCAGACTGAGGGACTAGCCAGAGCAAAAGCTGTTGGGCTGGAAGTGCGGCAGATGTGTTGATGGATTAGCATGGATGTCAGTATGGCTGAATCAAGAGGAGAGTGAGTAAAGAGGAGCATGGTAGGAGAAGGAGGCCACTGGTGTGTTCAAATCAGAGGGTCGACATGGTTTTATTTATGTGCCAGACCACAGCAGCCAGAGTCGTCTTTTTAAAGCACAACTCTCTCCCACTTCTTCTCCAGCCTTCAGTCATTCCCTACTACCTAGAAAAGTAAAAGTTCATTCTCCCTAGGCTACCTCTTAGCAATTTCCACACTCTAGATACAATCTATCACCTGCTGTTAATAATCCCAAAGCACTATTTGACTTTTTTTAATTAATTTATTTTATTTATTTATTTTTGGCTGCATTGGGTCTTCGTTGCTGCACGTGGGCTTTCTCTAGTCGCGGTGCGTGGGCTTCTCATTGCGTTGGCTTCTCTTGTTGTGGAGCACGGGCTCTAGGCACATGGCCTTCAGTAGTGGTGTGCGGGCTCAGTAGTTGCGACTCACAGGCTCTAGAGCGCAGGCTCAGTAGTTGTGGTGCATGGGCTTAGTTGTTCTGCAACATGTGGGATCTTCCCAGACCAGGGCTCGAACCCATGTGCCCTGCATTGGCAGGCAGATTCTTAACCGCTGTGCCACCAGGGAAGCCCTTGACATTTTTTTTTTTTAATTTGTTCTTTCCTAAACATTCTCAAGTCTTTTGTCTCTATGACTCTGCTCAAGACCTCTCTCCACTTAAAACATTCCACCTCTGTCTTTATTGATGTCTTTCCGCAAACCTCACCTCCTCCATGGCAGTAGTCTCTGAAACTCTCAGCCAGAAACAATCCCCACCCTCCAGAGAGCTTGGCATTTGCATCCCTTATAGCAGTTAACATCTTCTACCCTTTGTCAGGATTATTATGCTCATGACTCAGTTCTTTTACTATTGAGTCAAGAATGCTACTTTATTTATCTTTGGATTTCTCTCATATGTTGCGCTTAATATATTCTCATAAGTGTTCTCGAGTAAATGAATGAATGAAAAGTCTTCTCTTCAGTTTACCTCAATATGAAGACAAAATAATAGTTAATGCTGTAGAATGCAGGTTAAAGGTCCCTTTAGAGTCATGATTCCAGACCAAGATCCCAAATATGAAGTCTTTTTTGAGTTTCTAAGAATGTGTCTTGAAGTGTGGAAGATAACTGTTTATAGAATTGAGAAAGCTATAAATAGGAATTGGTTTTTCAAATAATCTGCAGTTCAGCATTTGGCATGCTATAATAAATATAATGCTAAAAAAGATCTCAATGCAAAGCAAACTTACAGGTAACTTTCACAAAACACTATCTTGCATTAGCAAATTCTAAAAACGCATTAATTATACATTTATAATGGAATTAGATCTTTGAAAGAAGTTTTTCCCATGGCTTTTTAGTGGATCTTATTGTTTTCAGTATGAATTGCTTTTCTATACCACTGCATAAAAATAATACAATTCAATTAATTATTTTGTATGTTCAGCACAGTGTTAGGTTTATAACTCCATTTTGTTAAATTAAGACATTTAATATGACAAAAATTTCATTTTTGAAATCTCACATCATAGTGCTTATTCCTTTAAAGATAATTTGCCCTAGACACCATAAACTTGTATAACACTATTAATGAAAAAACCCAATATTATGCAGAGTTAGTTCAATAAAGTCGAGTGCTTGGAAAACTCAAGACCAGTAGTTATTTAACATGTTGAGAGATGATAACTAAATGACATCCATAGTGATGGAGAGTTTGTTTCTGGTGAAGAATAAAGTGCACAATTCAAATGATAAGAGAAATGCCACAAAAGAACAAGGTTATAAAAAGACAAACTGTCTTTGAAAGAGCAAAGAGAAGGAGAAAGAGCAAATAGAGTGTCAAAATAGTGAAATAGTTTTCAGGGGCAGCAATATCCATTTCCACCAAACTGAAAACTTTCTGCCAAATGCGGCAAGATACTGTTAGCATTTTATTCTTTTTCTGCCTAGATGGTTTAAATTCCTTTGGGTGTATTAGTTGCCTAAAACAATATTTCAAATGAGAAGTATTTGTCTTCCAACATTCAATTCAACATTAACACACTTAGAAGTAGAAGTAGCGCTTTCACTTGCGTGTGGTTATTGTAAAAGCTGAGAGAAAGTAGCATAACTGAACATAATAATACAGAACAGGTCATCAACCATTGTTCAATCCATTACTAGTCTAGTAAGACAGTCCTGAGTCATGGTATATTGTAATTATTTTTCCCACCTAGTTGCCAATGATCTGTATATTCTCTCTTGTCTCTTCCCCTTGTTTTCTTCCCAAAGTGGTTTCAGGCTTTTTAACTGATCTCCTTTCCTTGGGGTCCTGATTCTCCATTAATATTTTCCATTTGGAACTGCAGGTCGATGCAGGTTGCAAGTCACTCTCAACATGTGAGCTCCTTAAACCCAAACTGAAGAAGTTGGATTACCTCATTGCTTTATTGGCCTTGTACTTGGAAATCTAGGTTTCCACATAAAAATCTCAGAATGGTGAATAGTGGGGTATGGGGGAAGTGGTAGGTTAGATGGTGAATTTAATCTTCGCATCAAAAAAGGCAACTCCACTTTATTCTAGCACATTTTGGAACTTCACTTATGATTTTCTTTTTATTTTAATTCCACCACTAAAAACTGCTGTAAAACCACAATTTTCTTGAAAGTTTAAATTTAGTTTACCTTT